CTCTTGAGGTAGTCACAAGAGAAACCAAGGGATCCTTGAGTGGATTTGTGACGTAATTCTTGTGCTCCAATCCGCCACCATGAGAGCATATCGGCTCTGGCGGTAGTCAATTCGGTAGTCAATTCACCATCGCAAGTGATCCACCAGCGCGGGTGCCGTCCGGGGTTTCGCTGTGCTCTGTTCACAAAAGAGAGAAAAATCGCAGTTGTGACAACGAACATACGCCCTGGTTCCACATTTTGGACGACAAGTTAAAAATGAGGGAAGATCCATGCTTTTATAAAAAGGCATATGATTGGTAAAAATAGGGATCTGTATCGACCAATCGTCGAGTGCTAACATTGCGACCAAACGATGATGAGCGGGCAATTGCGGTGTGCTCAGTATTTGACGGACGCCGTTATAGCACGCTCAGAACTCGTTGTTTTCAAACACTGTAAAGGGTACTTTTCTAGCTTTAGGTGGTTCATTTTCGTGCAATAGACGACGATTTTCCACCTCTGACACGGCTCCTCAGCGCTCGAAGCTGACAATGACCATGGACAACTCACAGGTGCGGCTACGAAGAAGTATTCAATTGACTTGAATGGTCAAATGAGGCATTTTTGACTACAAAAGCTGCATGTCGTCCTAGCAGCTCTTGAGATGGTTCATACAACCACAGGGGGCTACACTGTTGGTACGAGCTGATGCAGTTGGGGACAAAGGTGAAATGTCTTGACCGTTCCTCTGTCTGGTGATGTTTTAGCTCTCAGATGCGCTGCTATCTTCCGTTCTACGTGTATCTGATCCGGGCGACACAAAGGTACGGTTTTCGATTTGTTCTCGAGTGAAGGCACTACTGGCGCTGATAGCCTTGTTCTTGGTGAGCTCAGGGTTGATGAAGGAAAGTTCTGACTTCAAAAAGCTGCACTCGTTGTACAGTACTGCGCACATTTACGTAGGAAGGCGTTGAATGGATTCGTGGTTGCTGCAGGTGGGTTTACTAAACTTCTGTTTGTTTGGTTGTGTAGCCGACATCTGACGGCATGCTGCTTGGGCGACAAGGTGTTTGTGCGGTCCTAAAAAGTACAATCGCGTCCCATGTATCTGATTAAAACAGATTTAAAGCGATATATAGTGGATTCTGTCATTCCTGCGTTGGCAATGACACTGATGCTGTCGTTTGTGGTATAACAAATCCATCACAGATATTTTTCGTGGCTTTTTATCTTGGCTTAACGTCTATTGCTATTTGATACGTCGATGGTGGCGCTGTATAGCACATTAATTGACTGTGGACCCAAAGCCGATAGAGTGACACATCTTCAATTGGAAGGCAAGAAAGCTTATCTGAAACAATCTACAGCTTCATTTTATAATATACAATACTACAATAAAGAACAAACTTTGGTCCTTCCTTGTCCACTCTGCCAACACGCAGCCTTGCTTTGACAACAGTCTCCTTTTGTAGCAATTCAAATAGGTGACACAATTTTCATGATTCGATAAGCTCCACATAAAACTCTCCATTCCGCCATAAACGGCCATGCTCCTGCCTTTTCGATGTTTCTCATCGTCATAATCCTTGTAACAACTCTTCCTTGCTGTTGTTGCTGTGCATCTGCGCGGTGAATCATAATTCCAATGTGTCAGAACTACGGTTTCTAGTAGAGAACACTACGTTATGATAAGGTGCAAACGTTATTTGTGGGAAAGCACGTTATACGCTTCAGTTTTCGGCTGCAGCGTATAGCTTTCCTACTGTTTTTTGCTTTTTGCTCTTTTAACCGTGTCATCAGTGTCTGACAGTACCTAAATCCTTTGCACCCGGTCCGCCAGGACATCTACGCATTGTTAACGCAAAACTTGATCGTCTTACCTGCTTGCAAACCAGTGCTTTGCGCTAGAATTTCGACATGGTGAAATTCCTTCCGACATTTGCGACTGTCACGCGCATACCACCACGGGCAAGTATACCGCAAAGAGCTGCCACCTTAATTGCTTTACAACCTGTAGACCTCCATTCCACCATATATGTCAGCAAACACATTATTCTGTCAACCTTGCGTTTCAAGCTCAACTACTCACGAATAAGTGCAGTGGGCTTTTAAGCTCACGGTTTCAGTAATCTTTTGCTTGCGCATTAGCTATCCAACCTTTGAGTTGCTCCAAGTGTCTTATGCTTGGTGCAAAATGTGAGATGAAATTTGTAGGTCCTTAGTTCGCACTACTGCTACATCTAAGCCTACTGACTAAACCTGACCCATCTTACCAGTTCGCAATTTCCGCACAGCAAACGCATAAGCAAAACGCATACGCACTATTATCAGAGGAGTGCGAGCTCTGTTTGCCTTCACCAGCGTTACGCTCGATGTTGGCGTTTGGGCGAGTCACTTCTTTGGTCACCTTGATACGTGTTCTTGGTCAAAGACTGCTGTCCTTTCTCGCTAGCTTTTTGTCGTCCTGGTGGATCCGCAAGCCCTTTACAAGCAATCTTCCTTAGCTCTTCGTCTCCCATCGCTTGTGACAAAACTGCCTTATACCCAAGAGATTGCTCCACCTCTTGGCGACGCTTTAAATCGCCATCCACAAGCACTAAAGGGTTCCACAGAGTCTCCACAAGACTTTTCAATCTCTTGGCTACTTCCGCATCAAAAAAAGTGTATGTATCACAACACACCGAGCGATAACAGAGCGTAAACCTGAGCTTCTCAGCTGCTTCCTTGCTAGTGCTCTGCTTGATTTTGCTATACGTGTCCGCCAACTTCAATCCACTACTATCACTTTTCTTCTTTTCATCTTCAGGCTTTTCCACGTAGATAAATCGGTGATGCTTATTGTCCTCGTCTTGCACGTTCATATAGATACAAATCACGTCACGGACACTTATCTTGCTCAGCGGGTTGTCCAGATGTTTGACAGGATATTTAGTCTTCCTAATCGTTTTTCCAAAAACAAATGAAGGGCACAGCTTGGTCGTCGCTGACTTCGGAAATTCACTATCGTGGGGAGCCCGGTTCTTCACTTGAATCAAAATGAATGAAACCTTCGCGTCTATGTCATCGTCCGATTTCATTTCTGATCCAAAAGATGCATCGCCGTCTTCCTTTTTCCAAAAGATTGGAATCAACAGATCGGCTCCTTTCTGGTTCCGAGGAAATATTCCCGCAGCACGACGGCCAAGCAAATACCATAACGTTGCCGCCGTCGGCTCCATCTTCAGTTGCACAAAGTGAGAAAATCCCATTTGCCACCCATCCCACTTCGATAGCCAAGTCCGGTAAGCTTCCTTTGTATCGCTAGGAGGTTCAACCATGTTTCGCGTATATACTGGCATCTCGTCTGCACCAAGAACTTTCAAGAATGAACGCACCGATATAAAATGGCCGGTATAACATTCGTGTTTTTCGTTTCCTAGCACGCACTGGTCCATAGCGAGAAGCAGCACAATACGTGCGACCACCTCACCAATTCCACCAGTGTCAAGAGCTTCGTTCAGAACTAATTTCGTTAGCTGAGGCAGGATAAATTGCGATAACGCATATTCATGTCCGTACCATACCATGATTGCACCCAAGGCGAGCACCGGGTCCGATGCGTAGCTGCTCACATAGCCATCTTTTTCGTAATTTACATATGCAAGAATTGCCATCAAGTCGGCGACAGCTCGAGATGCAAATGGTGATGTTGTATACGGACGCAAACCCACTCGACAAAGCAAAGATGCGACGCCAAACATGTTTTCTTCCTTGTAGCCGTCTGAATTGGGGCGCTGCGCAAGCAAAAGCTTTCTTGCCGCAAAATAAACAACGGTAGCTGGGCTTTCTGAATTCTCGTTGTAAGTGTACCACAGTGGCCGACCCATTCGTTTCAACGCGTTCCAAGCATCCTGCTCGCTCCCGGTCACAGCGTTTTTGTACGCAGTTACATCAATGCCCATTTCTTCTGTATCGTCACTTGCATTGCTTTTATTATCCGCCGTTCCACCCATCTTCTTTTCTTCCAAGTCCGACATTGGATCATCTTTGATCTCATCAGCAGTTTGCTCGTCACAATATTTTTGCCAAAACAAATCCATCGTGTGCGTTAGTACAAAAGGCGGAAACAATGCCAAATTATCCATTTTGCCATCTCGGCCGGATGGGTCAGACGACAGCGGCGGCGTTAGGTCAGAGATTTTTGAATTGGTATCAATTAGCAGCCCAAAAACACCCCCATTCGGGGTGAAGGCGTTTTGAAGCGCGCGTCGCAACAAGCGAAAATGGTTCAATCTGTCATCCGCCTCAACAAGCAGAGATCTTGCTTCATCAATTACCAAAATCACTATCTTTTTACTTGATGTGTTCGATGGGCTGGTACTGCTTATTGGGTTGGCACTCTTTGATGGGCAGGTACTCTTTAATGGGCTGGATTTCTTTAACGGGCTGGTACTCTTTAATGGACTCGTTTTCTTTAAAGGGCTAGTACTCTTTGATGGGCTATTTGTTTTGTCTAGCGACAATTTCATCTCAAAAGCTCGCAGCTTTTCATTCATCTCAGCATCAGCATCACGGCTTGTAAACAGTTTCAACCATTCTTCTTGGATGGTCTCCCAATTTTCCTTTGCATACTGAGAAATCACTTTTAGTCGAGTAGCAATTAATTCCGAAGTGCAATCAGATGGAAACAGCCACTTTCGAAGCTTTTTCGTCCGTGCCGGATACCCAGACGAGTCTTGTGTGCGTGCGCAGATGTAGATAACTTTATGTGTCGAGGAGGGTTCCAGTGCCATGCGCGCAAGCTCGAATACCATCCGACTCTTACCAAACCCGGAGCTTTGGACGACCGTCACATATGGTGCCTTGAATAGTTCTGGATCTTTACAATGCATCTTCCAGCACCTTTCCACGTATTCTTTAAAGTCATGGCTGGCACTGCCAACGTATTCAGTTTGCGTGAATGACTTTGCGAGCTGTCTGATTTCGTCTGGCGTCAAACTTGGAATAGCAGGCAATTTCTGCTCAAACTTTTTGACAGTATCAGCGGCTGTCTCCTTTGCGATATTGACCGCGACTTCATGTTGAGCGGCGTATTTCCACTCGATAGACCCTATGAGCATACCACGTAGTTCAGCCTCAATCACTGTCTTCGTGTTTGCGTTCATACAGTCCTTCATATCAACTGCAGCCACTACATCTTTCGGTGTTACAACCTTTTCGTCATCGTGCATCTTCGTTGTTACAAGTTCAAAGACACGGTTGTTCACAAACGTGGCCATCTCTTCAAGACGATTAATCTGATCCTGCATGCAGTACAACATTAGCAAAATGAGAGGGGACCGGTTAAGTAGCAGCGTACATGAGCATGGAGATGCATATACCTGTTGCGGTCTGTTGTCTGCAGTCTCCATCGGGGCGTCGTCCATTTTGGTCCAAAAGAAGAAAAGTTTTGAGCGATGCAGGTGACGCGAAGGTTGTTTGAAGTCAGGATCTTTCAATCATTTTAATCAGCACATTTTATAGGTAAAAAAGTATAATCATAAAGTATAACCTACATTTTAGGCTATATATCGTTGATAGTGTTTGTAGTAAGGTTACACACATTAGTTGTGTGTTAGCCAGCAAATTCAGAAGTGGGGGCGCTTAGCTCAGTTGAAAGCTAGGTGTATTTAATCGTTAACTACACCCTATACCTACTCGGCTGCACTAATATCTTTACAACTTTTCCTCCGGCTGACGTTTTTTGATTTGGTGAGATTCTTCTTGCGAAACTCGATTCTGATTCTTGCCACTGGGCTTTGTATTCTGATTCGTGCTGCTAAACGATACCCGGGGTCCCAAGGGTATCGGAAAGACTTTTGCAGTTAGTGGGGATTGAACCCGTGACCGCTGGGTCAACAAGGCGGTGCATTCCCACTGCACCCCCCAAGGTCCAGACCTTTCCAAATGTTCAGATGACGATGGGTTGACAGTGGAACCAGAAGGAATAATGGGATGAGCAACAGGTGCGACAGGTCCCAGCTGCGTTCAAGAGAGGCGGTGAGGCGGAGTCAGGCTGTTCCATGGGCAAAGGGGGAGCGACATCGAGGATGGGACGGGTCGGGTTGGGATCTTCTTAAAAGTTGAGTTGTGTGTTTGCCAGCAAATTCAAAAGTGGGGGGCGCTTAGCTCAGTTGAAAGCTAGGTGTATTTAATCGTTAACTACACCCTATACCTACTCGGCTGCACTAATATCTTTACAACTTTTCCTCCGGCTGACGTTTTTTGATTCGGTGAGATTCTTCTTGCGAAACTCGATTCTGATTCTTTCCACTGGGCTTTGTATTCTGATTCGTGCTGCTAAACGATACCCGGGGTCCCAAGGGCATCGGAAAGACTTTTGCAGTTAGTGGGGATTGAACCCGTGACCGCTGGGTCAACAAGGCGGTGCATTCCCACTGCACCCCCCAAGGTCCAGACCTTTCCAAATGTTCAGATGACGATGGGTTGACAGTGGAACCAGAAGGAATAATGGGATGAGCAACAGGTGCGACAGGTCCCAGCTGCGTTCAAGAGAGGCGGTGAGGCGGAGTCAGGCTGTTCCATGGGTAAAGGGGGAGCGACATCAAGGATGGGACGGGTCGGGTTGGGATCTTCTTAAAAGTTGAGTTGTGTGTTAGCCAGCAAATTCAAAAGTGGGGGCGCTTAGCTCAGTTGAAAGCTAGGTGTATTTAATCGTTAACTACACCCTATACCTACTCGGCTGCACTAATATCTTTACAACTTTTCCTCCGGCTGACGGTTTTTGATTCGGTGAGATTCTTCTTGCGAAACTCGATTCTGATTCTTGCCACTGGGCTTTGTATTCTGATTCGTGCTGCTAAACGATGCCCGGGGTCCCAAGGGTATCGGAAAGACTTTTGCAGTTAGTGGGGATTGAACCCGTGACCGCTGGGTCAACAAGGCGGTGCATTCCCACTGCACCCCCCAAGGTCCAGACCTCTCCAAATGTTCAGATGAGGATGGGTTGACAGTGGAACCAGAAGGAATAATGGGATGAGCAACAGGTGCGACAGGTCCCAGCTGCGTTCAAGAGAGGCGGTGAGGCGGAGTCAGGCTGTTCCATGGGTAAAGGGGGAGCGACATCGAGGATGGGACGGGTCGGGTTGGGATCTTCTTAAAAGTTGAGTTGTGTGTTAGCCAGCAAATTGAGAAGTGGGGGCGCTTAGCTCAGTTGAAAGCTAGGTGTATTTAATCGTTAACTACACCCTATACCTACTCGGCTGCACTAATATCTTTACAACTTTTCCTCCGGCTGACGTTTTTTGATTCGGTGAGATTCTTCTTGCGAAACTCGATTCTGATTCTTGCCACTGGGCTTTGTATTCTGATTCGTGCTGCTAAACGATACCCGGGGTCCCAAGGGTATCGGAAAGACTTTTGCAGTTAGTGGGGATTGAACCCGTGACCGCTGGGTCAACAAGGCGGTGCATTCCCACTGCACCCCCCAAGGTCCAGACCTCTCCAAATGTTCAGATGAGGATGGGTTGACAGTGGAACCAGAAGGAATAATGGGATGAGCAACAGGTGCGACAGGTCCCAGCTGCGTTCAAGAGAGGCGGTGAGGCGGAGTCAGGCTGTTCCATGGGTAAAGGGGGAGCGACATCGAGGATGGGACGGGTCGGGTTGGGATCTTCTTAAAAGTTGAGTTGTGTGTTAGCCAGCAAATTGAGAAGTGGGGGGCGCTTAGCTCAGTTGAAAGCTAGGTGTATTTAATCGTTAACTACACCCTATACCTACTCGGCTGCACTAAGATCTTTACAACTTTTCCTCCGGCTGACGTTTTTTGATTCGGTGAGATTCTTCTTGCGAAACTCGATTCTGATTCTTGCCACTGGGCTTTGTATTCTGATTCGTGCTGCTAAACGATGCCCGGGGTCCCAAGGGTATCGGAAAGACTTTTGCAGTTAGTGGGGATTGAACCCGTGACCGCTGGGTCAACAAGGCGGTGCATTCCCACTGCACCCCCCAAGGTCCAGACCTCTCCAAATGTTCAGATGAGGATGGGTTGACAGTGGAACCAGAAGGAATAATGGGATGAGCAACAGGTGCGACAGATCCCAGCTGCGTTCAAGAGAGGCGGTGAGGCGGAGTCAGGCTGTTCCATGGGTAAAGGGGGAGCGACATCGAGGATGGGACGGGTCGGGTTGGGATCTTCTTAAAAGTTGAGTTGTGTGTTAGCCAGCAAATTGAGAAGTGGGGGCGCTTAGCTCAGTTGAAAGCTAGGTGTATTTAATCGTTAACTACACCCTATACCTACTCGGCTGCACTAAGATCTTTACAACTTTTCCTCCGGCTGACGTTTTTTGATTCGGTGAGATTCTTCTTGCGAAACACGATTCTGATTCTTGCCACTGGGCTTTGTATTCTGATTCGTGCTGCTAAACGATACCCGGGGTCCCAAGGGTATCGGAAAGACTTTTGCAGTTAGTGGGGATTGAACCCGTGACCGCTGGGTCAACAAGGCGGTGCATTCCCACTGCACCCCCCAAGGTCCAGACCTTTCCAAATGTTCAGATGAGGATGGGTTGACAGTGGAACCAGAAGGAATAATGGGATGAGCAACAGGTGCGACAGGTCCCAGCTGCGTTCAAGAGAGGCGGTGAGGCGGAGTCAGGCTGTTCCATGGGTAAAGGGGGAGCGACATCGAGGATGGGACGGGTCGGGTTGGGATCTTCTTAAAAGTTGAGTTGTGTGTTAGCCAGCAAATTGAGAAGTGGGGGCGCTTAGCTCAGTTGAAAGCTAGGTGTATTTAATCGTTAACTACACCCTATACCTACTCGGCTGCACTAAGATCTTTACAACTTTTCCTCCGGCTGACGTTTTTTGATTCGGTGAGATTCTTCTTGCGAAACTCGATTCTGATTCTTGCCACTGGGCTTTGTATTCTGATTCGTGCTGCTAAACGATACCCGGGGTCCCAAGGGTATCGGAAAGACTTTTGCAGTTAGTGGGGATTGAACCCGTGACCGCTGGGTCAACAAGGCGGTGCATTCCCACTGCACCCCCCAAGGTCCAGACCTTTCCAAATGTTCAGATGAGGATGGGTTGACAGTGGAACCAGAAGGAATAATGGGATGAGCAACAGGTGCGACAGGTCCCAGCTGCGTTCAAGAGAGGCGGTGAGGCGGAGTCAGGCTGTTCCATGGGTAAAGGGGGAGCGACATCGAGGATGGGACGGGTCGGGTTGGGATCTTCTTAAAAGTTGAGTTGTGTGTTAGCCAGCAAATTGAGAAGTGGGGGCGCTTAGCTCAGTTGAAAGCTAGGTGTATTTAATCGTTAACTACACCCTATACCTACTCGGCTGCACTAAGATCTTTACAACTTTTCCTCCGGCTGACGTTTTTTGATTCGGTGAGATTCTTCTTGCGAAACTCGATTCTGATTCTTGCCACTGGGCTTTGTATTCTGATTCGTGCTGCTAAACGATACCCGGGGTCCCAAGGGTATCGGAAAGACTTTTGCAGTTAGTGGGGATTGAACCCGTGACCGCTGGGTCAACAAGGCGGTGCATTCCCACTGCACCCCCAAGGTCCAGACCTTTCCAAATGTTCAGATGAGGATGGGTTGACAGTGGAACCAGAAGGAATAATGGGATGAGCAACAGGTGCGACAGGTCCCAGCTGCGTTCAAGAGAGGCGGTGAGGCGGAGTCAGGCTGTTCCATGGGTAAAGGGGGAGCGACATCGAGGATGGGACGGGTCGGGTTGGGATCTTCTTAAAAGTTGAGTTGTGTGTTAGCCAGCAAATTGAGAAGTGGGGGCGCTTAGCTCAGTTGAAAGCTAGGTGTATTTAATCGTTAACTACACCCTATACCTACTCGGCTGCGCTAAGATCTATACAACTTTTCCTCCGGCTGACGTTTTTTGATTCGGTGAGATTCTTCTTGCGAAACTCGATTCTGATTCTTGCCACTGGGCTTTGTATTCTGATTCGTGCTGCTAAACGATACCCGGGGTCCCAAGGGTATCGGAAAGACTTTTGCAGTTAGTGGGGATTGAACCCGTGACCGCTGGGTCAACAAGGCGGTGCATTCCCACTGCACCCCCCAAGGTCCAGACCTTTCCAAATGTTCAGATGAGGATGGGTTGACAGTGGAACCAGAAGGAATAATGGGATGAGCAACAGGTGCGACAGGTCCCAGCTGCGTTCAAGAGAGGCGGTGAGGCGGAGTCAGGCTGTTCCATGGGTAAAGGGGGAGCGACATCGAGGATGGGACGGGTCGGGTTGGGATCTTCTTAAAAGTTGAGTTGTGTGTTAGCCAGCAAATTGAGAAGTGGGGGCGCTTAGCTCAGTTGAAAGCTAGGTGTATTTAATCGTTAACTACACCCTATACCTACTCGGCTGCGCTAAGATCTATACAACTTTTCCTCCGGCTGACGTTTTTT